GAAAGACAAGTTAAATCACACATAGTAAAAGCTGTGTTTGTGGTGTGAGAAATGTACACATAAGACACATTGTGTACCCACACAGAGGGGAAGATTTATTCTATAAGTTCAGATGCTGTTAATTGAATTAGCGATAAATTATTTTAAGCCCCCCCTCTCTCGCTCTCTCTCACACACACATACACTCTCTCACTCTCCCACCTTCTATTGTCATGGTGATGAACTGTTCCTTTTTCTACCTGTTACTTACTCTCCTCCCTGACTGACAGGTCATTCAACCAGTCCATCAGGTTTCATTTCCTCCCGCAGGACTCAAGCAGGAACGGTCACACCTCAACAGTTCAGAGTTGCCCTGTTACCAATGATGAATTCCAGCAATAAATATCTAAAAAAATAGATTTGGCAGGTACTCCGGTGTGGAAAAATGTAAAATCCAGATTTCTATGTGTGATGAGTTGACTAATGCAGATATTTTTTAATTGAATCAAGTCTACCTTGGCTATACTTTTGAAATATATTTTACACACTCACTCTCTACTCTCTCTCTCTCACACACACACACACACACACACACACACACACACACATTTTTTTTATTAATAGAAAGAGTTTTGTGTGATGTAGTGTGTAGCAGCCTTCCCAGTGTATTATTTTATCCCAGATATATTTACATAAACGTATCTGTGGTTTGGACACACCTAAAGACAATATTTTTTATTTATTCATTTGAATAAATAATTGAATTCGATTAAAATGAGATTGTATATTGATTAAACCGACCTCATACTGATCATTCATAATTTCCCTTATCTAAATAAAATCTAACCATATGGGTGCTTGCACGTCCCATCCGTATTTCATGTCCATGTTTAATATTTGGTTTAATCTCACTGTGACATGCTTTCTGTTGAGTAAACTAAGTGTTTGTGTGTTTTGGGGGGCTAGAAAGTTGAGTGCTTATCTAGCCTTGGACCGGAGTCTTTAACGGACCGCTGAACTCTTTGGATTGTGGACCCTGGCTGTGTATTTTAGATAACTGTACCTCTGTAGCGTGGTGACTCATGAACACAGGTTTCAAAAGATCTCCAAAATTCCAGTCACGAAACAGGAGATTTCTATCAAGTAACTGTGAATGATTAATATGTCTTGATGTGTATATGCACTGTTTAAATGAAGCCAGCTAAAGTGAAACCAGGAGTATTCACTGCATAATGGAAACCGAATCTCAGCAGCTGTGGGTGTGTACTAATATGTTTTTGACAGCAGTAATAAAATGTGGTCAGACACACAGGATTCCAGTACAGTAAAAATCATTTAATTCAATAAAATAGTATATAGCAGTAGACCAGTTGTACCTTTATCATTTTTATAAGACTACTTCACTGCGTTTCCAATACTGTTACAATGAGTTGCATCATACCTCTGCAGTACAACTCTTCCTATGACAACCACTGCCCCAGATATGGCGAAAGGAATTTAAATAACAGAATATTAAACAGTAGATATCTCACTTTAAAACCCGTACAAAAATACTTTACAGACGAAATACATGACATGGTTTCCAGATTACCAGAGCTATACCGAGCACACGGTGGGATATTGCGCAATCCAGGCGCACAGTCCACTTTCATGTTTTTTTTCTCGGTTGTAAACGCGTCGAACGAGCGATCGCCCGTTTTTAAACGAATCACAGAAAACTTTTGTTGTAAATTCTGCACTCTTGAAAGTCACTGACAGTCACTAAGCACCGCAGGAGTCCCGTCAGCACTGGCCGGTGGCGGAGAGCAGGTTCCGCAGCGTCGCCAGCTCGCGCGACAGCTGCTCCACGCGCTTCTGTAACCGGTCGTTCTCGGCCGCGAGCTCCAGCACTTTGTGCTGCGTCTCCATGTTGCGCATTTTGGCTTTGTCTCTGCTTTTGCGGACGGCGAGATTGTTCCTCTCGCGCCGCTGTTTGTACTCGTCGCTGTCCTTGTCCACCCTCTTCTTTCCTTTGCCGCCAGAAGCCATCTTGCCGCCAGACTGAGGTGATCTTCCCTTACCTGGCGGCGCAGGTGTACCTGGCGGACTCGAGCAGGAGGAGGACGCGGTGGAAATGTTACCCAGGCTGCCGCCAGGAGCGTTCTGGTACTGCAGATACGAGCGCATGTCAAAGCCCCCGGAACCATCCATTGGCGGCTCTTCGTGTCGCCAGTTAGTTTTGGCAAAGCTGCCCAGAAAGTCCGGGCTGAACACGGCGTCTATGCGCGTCTCCTGGAGCTCCGGATACGCCAGTTGGTTCGAGTCCCGCTCAGTCAGCGAGATGTAGTTCTTGTAGCTCTGTAACGCCGCTCTCTTGCTCTTGTTTTCCTCGGAGAGAACGTCGCTGTAGATTCCCAGTGCGCGGTGCCGGGCTTCGTCTTGGCTGGCCAGATGCTGGTACTGGGGCGAGTCCAAATAGATGCTGAAGTCTATGGCTTTCTCGTGCTCAGAAATGTCATGAAGCTTCGTCATGGAGCCGTTCGTAGGCTGCTTGCAAATGCCGTCGCTGACCGGGCTGCTGCTGGCGTTAGTGCTGTGGAAAGCGAGGTAGTCCCCCTCGTAAAAACCGGCCACTTCCATGGATCTTAACACCCGCCGGATTGCGGCAGGACGGAGATCAGGGTCTCGCCTTCCCCTGACAACTTCGCAAGTGTCACCGACGGCAGCGCAAAACTCACGCGAAAATTCGAGTCTTCCGTCGGCAGAAATAACTAGATGACTTTTGTCTAGTTATGTAGGTGGCAGGTTGCTTGCTGGAGAGCTCGAGTCAGTTCCCATGCCTCGGAAAGGGGTGTTTATAGGGGTGTGAGAGGGGGCGGCGATTCTCTGTTTGGTGTGACGCGTTTTTCTGGTTTTGACTGCAGACACTCAGAACTTAAAGTGGGGTCTGTGAACACACGAGTGAATAACAATAGAAAACAAACACGGCATAAACAGATACGAATGTGCTGAGTTTAGGCTTTTATAAGGAACACCTGCTTAACCGTCTACCAAAAGATTTTGAATAAATATAGATCCAGAATGAGATTTATTGGCAAGTATGTTTTCACTTGTAAGGACTTTGTCTCGGTGAAGCTTCAGGTGAAACAGAAAAAAAAAACACTAGTTAAAAAAGAATATACATACATGCATATATACAGTATGTACATATACACACACACAATATGCTATTTACAAATAAGGCATGTACACAACAGACATAAATAAGATATGTTGAAGTAATTGTATAATTTATCATTATTTCTTATTTAAAAGTTACGCAATATATATTTCTACTTATTTTATTAGTTTATGTGCTCTACATAACTCTACAGACAGAACTCTACACAACTTTTATAGTAAACTAATAAAATAAAGAGGGTACAGCAATAAATGCAGGTTTTTGGAGGAGCAGTCAGTTGCTGTTGCCATGGACAACGGTCATTATTCATCAACTTTTGTAATTTGACTATAATAAAGTCTTTTCGAGAGCTGTGTAGTAATTAAGCAACAAGGCACCTGAGGATGTGCCTCAGTCATGCCAAAAGGCCGTTGTTAACCATGACTATATTTACAATATAGCACAACCTTGAGAGTTGCCGTTTTTTTGTTAAGTGGTTAGCAAATAATAAAAATACTAGGATTTAAAAAAAAAAAAGATTAGTAAAACTTTTTTTAAGCAAATTAATTAAATGTCTTTCTTAAAGTTGAATATATATAGTGCCTGATATAACAGCAAAAATAAGATTTTCTAAAGGGCCTGAGCATGTCAAAGTTGTTACTATATTACTGAATGTAACATGTCTGGAATGTTGTATTGACCAATCAGTTGCTAAGACCGCCGGAAGGGTCCGTTTAATTTAAAGGTCTGTGTTTTCCATTGGCTTCTATACAGGGCTGTCATCCTGCAATATGAGCCACACTTTATATTCACACATTAAAGTTAGCTAATCAGTTTTATTCACATTACTTGATTAATATCACATCATATCATTGTCTAACCTTCAGTACCCTCAGCAGTAATTTCAATTTCAATTTGACCATTACAGTCATGTTCCAGAGGCAGCAGGCATAAACTTGATTATGCCTCGTCAGTGATGTGGTTAGTCTGCCATCTAGTGGGTATGTGAAGGATTACACTGCAAGCTGATTAACTTAATTTCATCATTGTCCTCTAGCTTCACCGTCTCTCTCAATATTTCCTTTTCGTATTCAGTTCCTGAACATCCTCCATCATAGTGCAATGTCTCGCAAGAACTGACTCATTAAGCAGTCAGCACGTAATGAAATTATATAAATTGTCATGTCAAATATTTCGAATATTGTGCATTTATTATTATTTTATGTATAGTTTATTTATTATCATTATATCATATTTTATTGTACACATTCCGTTACTTTTTATAGAGCGCCAGCGACGCAAATCCTACATCAAATGTTTGTATTGTGATTTTGGACTGTCCTCTGTCAGAAATCTTGACCGAATATTGACTGTATTCAACATTTATGACTAGTGTCATATGGACTGTTTGGACCAAAATAAAGGCGAATAAATGATGACAGATCTTTTTATTTGGAAGAAATATTTTCATTTTGAACGAACTAATTTTTTGTCTTGTAAAGGTCTGTTTTTTGTTAGAGAGACATTGTATTTTCCCACTTACTCCTTTGACTTGTGAAATGACATTTCACCGGTACTTGTTTTGCAAACTAAAAATACTAAATTTAATTTGATTTTTAATAACATTATGAAAATATATATATTTAGACAAAGCACAGAAAAATACCACGATCCATATACACCACACTTTTACATCAAAGTAACTCAAATTAATCGCCGTCAGTGTAGCCTGTTTTCTGATTGGTGGCATCCGGGTGGGGTCAGGACATTCTTGCTTTCTAATTGGTCGTCATGTTTGTTATGGAAACGTATTCTAATTGCTGATTGGATGAATGCTGCAGAAGGACGAACGCAATTGGTGGAGGGAAGAGACGCGGAACAGGGCGGACAGAGGCGTGGAGTTGAGGATGCGGAATTAACGCATTCGCTGCGCCCGAACCGGACTGAATATGGCGAGCACCGAGAGCAAAAGAGGGTCTTCGGAAAACTTTCACACAACCGAGCCAAGTGGATCGGACCAGCCGGGCGCGAGAAGGGGTCCACAGCATGCAGGTGCTAGAGAGCTCGCGGAGTTATACTCGCCAGGTGAGAATTTAAACCGGTTCTTTACGTTTCCCGTCGGCGCCGGTATCCGCCCGCCTCTGCCCACACCGAGGATTGACCGGACTGCCAGCCACGAGTTTCCCGTAGACAGCCCCGGACAGCACGGTCACGGAGCCGTAGCATTCGCCTCGTAATCTAGAGTAGTGTGTTTTGAAGATGCACGCATATATTCAGCGTGCATATTCAGTCTGGGGTCTCTGTGGGGATAAACACGACGGAGTTATTACTGTAGCTGTAGCATATAGGGATGGACTAATGAGTGATGTTTATGTGACAGCGAGTTTGAATGAGCGCAGCGCCCTATTAACGCCAGCTATAAGATGAGTCGAACATAATTGTCTGTGGCAAATTTGACCAAAATTGGTTATTAATCATGCATTGTGTGCTTATCTATCTTTTATAGTCCCAAGGGAGTAATTCTGTGCCTGAAATAGTCGTGGTACTTGTAGCTGTCAGATACTGACAGGAGATCGCTTTGATTTCTTGATGACCACATAGAAGCGTTCAGTAATTTATTTTATAGTTTAAAAAGTTGTACACAAAACATACGGTATTTTTGAGAAATAACATTAAAATAACTTACAGACTAAAAGCTGTCTTTTTCTACAAGGAGCGGGGTCGCCCCTTCATGGTTGGCGCTACTATTTACATCACATGGCTAATTGTGCTAAGCAACGGACTATTTTTTGCATATAGCTCATTTAGCAAGTGTTTTATGTGATTTACCAAGCATAAACGTAACAGTTATGGGGATACCATCCCTACAAGAAATGTAATTGTAACCAAACAGTTGATGGTAGCCATTGACTTCCATAGTATTTTTTTTCTCCATATTATTGAAGTCAATGGCTATCGTCAACTGTTTGGTCACTAACATTATTCAAAATATCTCCTTTTACGCAAAACAGAAGAAAGAAACTAATACAGGTTTGGAACAACTTGAGGGTGAGTAAATGATGACAGAGTTTTGAATGAACTATCCCCTCAATGTAAACAAAACAAGTAAAGCTAATTTTAAAGGTGCATTCAAATGAGCAAAAAAACTCTATTGTCCATCGTCAACAGTATGGCCATATATGAAGCACAGCTAACTCAGAAGTCAAAATAGCTTTCTGTTGGTCAACGCAGTGAATTTGTGGCCAGCTTGAACCCATTGCGAAATCTGCATGGGGACATCTTTGTTCTTCACTCGACATTTCTATTTATGTGGATTCCGATTGAAACGAAAATGTGATGCTAAATATGACCAAACCTTAACAGCATTGTCAGAACACACAAAAAGATGGCAAACATCCTAGATGTGAAGCGGCAGCAGTTAGTAAACTTAATGCATCCAAGCCAATAGGTATAAATCCAAAACTGGCACTATTGAATATTGAAAACCCTATTGAAAGCACCTATAAGGACGGTGTGGGTTTGACTCTTTTATCTTCATAGGAATGTGTTAAATATGAATAACAACAACAACAACAAATGCTATTTTATAGTATTAGCACAACAGGTTCACACAAAACCAAAAGCCCACAATAGATGAATCGATTGTGCTCAGTAAACCTGAGTGTACCCCGGAAGGAGGAACTCCATCAGTACCAGCAGGGAACAGTGGACATTGTGTAGGGGACAAATGATGTATACGAACACAAGAACAGAACAGGAACGGAAGCAAAACAAAACGTCACAGTAAGCAGAGCAGTGTGAGGGTGTGGTAGCTGTGAAAGGTATGAGTTTGTTGGAGTTGTTGTGGGTGGGGTGCTGCGGTTCAGTGTCAAATGGAGCAGGACTGATGTGGATTTCTGGGTAGCATTAGATTTAGTGCTTCTCTAAATTTACATCAGTTTCCTCGGATAGTCTTTTTCTGTTTACAGTCACTATGGTGATTCAGGGAGTGTTTTGACTCTCAGTATTTCAGTATCGGATTAACACTGAATGAATCCATTACCTTGGAACAAGCATGGCAGTATTTTTAGTCATTTCAGATATTTTCTGCAAAGTGATTCTGCTCTGAATTCAGGGCAAAGGTGAATTTGCTCTTGGCACATAATTGTAGCTGTGAAATGAAACAATGTGACATTGAGATCATTGCTTTAATACAAACTCATAGCATATCTATCTGTCTCATTCATCTATTTAAATATTAGATGCTTTCGCTACAGTATCTACGATAATGAAGCTGTATTGGAATATTAGCTGCCGGTATAGTTACTTTCTTCATGTGGCTGTAATGTTGATTTGTATTTAGCCACTTGTCCTCTTGGAAAACCATGGGAGATTTAGTTTTCTATAGGAAATGGGGTTTATTTGGTTGATTAGCAGTAGCCTAATGGTTAAGGGTTGAGGCTGCTAGCACACTTTAGAAAAGCTACCTCAAGGAGACACTCTGGAGATACATATATAAAGAATATTTACAGAGTCCAACATTGTCATTTAAGTAAATGTATAAATACTCACCAAAGCCATTTTTTTGTTCAAATTTGGTGCATTGCTGTTATTTTTGGACCCTGTTGACTAAGTTTGCCATTTAAAAGGTCTTGACTCTCTTATCTCTTTCTCACAGGAAAAAGATGTCAGGAATGGATCAGTTTGCTTCTTTGCTTTACCCTCATGGCCTTCAACTTCTGTTACCTGGTAACATACTTCCACCTAGGACACACCTGGTACATCCTCCTGGGCATCGGTTGGTACAACAAACAAACCCACATATACACGTCAATGTTTAATAAAGTAGTGGTAGGCACAACAAAGAAGTTGCAAATTACAACTTGGAAATTCCCAGTATTCAAGAAAGCTAGAAGCTGCTAGAATGATTCTCTGTGTGACTTGCAACTACCAAAAACTACTTTTTTATGAGAACTGAAAGACATTTTGGTTTATAATAGGATTTAGAGATTGATTTTATTCTCAGATTCTGCTGTATGTGTGTGTGTGTGTGTGTAGTGGCAGGGATCCTGACAGCAGACTTTGCCTCTGGTTTGGTCCACTGGGGTGCTGACACATGGGGTTCAGTGGATCTGCCCATCGTTGGGAAGGTACAGGAGTGAAACAGTCTTTTTCATGTTATTAAGTGTTGCCAGAGTTATTTAAGGTAAAACAATGAATAAAATCCTTATCTATCTAATAAAAATAGATAGACTCACTGGATTTTTTTAGGACATTTAAGATTTGCGTTTGTAAGTTAAACATCTTTTAAATGTCTTCTAAACGTCTTTAAAAGAAAATATGAATCTCAGGTAAATATTCTCAACTACTAAATTGTACAAGCACAGTTACTTCTCTTAAAAAATGAACTTTTCCTTCATCCCAGGCCTTCATTCGTCCGTTTCGAGAGCACCACATCGATCCAACAGCTATAACGCGCCATGATTTCATTGAGACGAATGGTGATAACTGTATGTTGACTATCATCCCTCTGGCTAACATGGGTGCAAACTTTTTGATGCTCTCACCAGGTAAGACGTCAGATATATTATCTGTCCATCGGAGAGACAAATGATGAACCACATTCATTTCATATCGTGCTGTTCTCTTTCTCAATCTGTCTTCAGTGGAGATCTATCGGAACTACCCCTGGTACTGTTACGTCTTTGCTTTAGCCATTTTTGTTACATTGACCAATCAGATTCACAAGTGGTCGCACACATATTTTGGGCTCCCACGCTGGGTGACGTTTCTTCAGGATTGTCACATCATTTTACCACGGAAACACCACAGAGTTCACCATGTTTCACCTCATGAAACCTACTTCTGCATTACCACAGGTACATGCACACAAACAATAATATTTTTATGCTCAAATCTTCCTCGCTTGATCACACTTTCTGTGGCAGTACATATCAGTGCTTTGTTTATGGTCTGCATTATGTACGCTATCATTTAAAAGTTTGGGGTCAGTAAGATTTTTTGAAAGAAGTCTCGTATGTTCACTAAGTCTGCATTTATTTGATCAAAAATACAGTAAAAACTTTAATATTGTAAAATGTTATTACAACTATATTTTTACAGCTGTTTTCTTTTATAATATATTTTAAAATGCAATTTATACCTTTGTGATGGCAAAGCTGAATTTTCAGCTTCATCACTCCAGTCTTCAGTGTCACGTGATCCTTCACCATTCAAATCATTCCAATATGCTGATTTGGTGATCAAGAAACGTTTCTTATAATTATCAATGTTATAAAAGAGCTGTGCTGCAAAAGTTCAAAAGAACCGCATTTATTAGAGATTTGTTTGTGTAAAAGTTTTTTTCTATCACTTTTGATAATTTTTAATGCATCCTTACTAAATGTAAATATATATTTTTTCAACAAAAACAAACAAACCCCAAACCTTTGAAAATGAGTATATATGGTTCAATGATCTGACATTATTTAAAAAAAAACTGATCTATTAATTATATACAAAAATACATGTGGTTTATTCAATAATTCTAAAATAAGTCATGTGGTACAACCAACATGCACAAAAAAGGAAATTATATCATAAAGAAGACAATTATAGACCCTTGTGAGTGTGATACTGTCCAAAAAGGCTAAAAACTAATGATATTTATGAATTAATAATTTGATATTTGTAAAAAAAAATTATCTAAATTCAAGTGTACACTTTACATGTATTCAGTGTGTAAGAAAAATGTACACCCCAAGACATTTTTAAACTAGTATTTTAAATTATACAATTCCAATTATATACAAATGAAAGTCAATCATACTGTTACGTCACTGACCTAAATGTCTTTGTATGTGCAGGCTGGTTGAACTATCCTCTAGAAAAACTGGGATTCTGGAGAAACCTGGAAGATCTGATCCAGAGCCTGACAGGAGAGAAACCCAGATCAGATGACCTCAGATGGGCCCAGAAAACCAAGTAATCTTCCTCTGCCACCAACCTGCCTCCCCTACCTCAGACCTGCCTCAGAACAAGAGGAACGGCAAGATATCAATGCCCAAATTAGAAAGCCATCAATTCTTAGCAAAAGTTAAGTGAAAGGGGGTTGACAGAGCGATTGAAAGCAATATCCCACCCCGCTCACTCTAAAGATCCAAACATCTAAGTCCTTGTTGAAAACCTGAGACTTTTGTGAAATGTTTAAAACTCTTCAAAGTGCAAAAAACAAGCTAATTTAAAAAGCCAATACTTGAACAAAGTGGGCTCTTTTCTGGACACCTTCTCATCCTTTAACTGCTCAAAGCTTTGCTGACTAGCTTGTTTCTGAGGGACTGGCCTCTGCTCTTGGGTTTGGCCTTTGGGACTGATATCTCTTGCTCTCACCCTTCTCTTGTTTGGGGTTAAAGTGCAGTAAAGTCAAGGCATTTTGGCTCTTTGACCACAGAGGGCTGAAAACACAGAGCAGCATCATATGCAGTCTTACTTCAGTACGCCTTAAAAGACGAATCACAAGAAACTTGCTTTGCTTGGCCTCATCCTTACACTTCATTCATCTTTTCATGATTAATACTTTCTTTTGAAGCACATTTGCAAATTCAGAGGTGCTGGAAGCAGTCAGCTGTTGACCAAGTATATTAGAAGTATTCCACATAGGTCAATATTTAGGCCATGAGATCTACATTGGTGTCCTCGATGCTCGACACTGAGATAACCCAACAGAAACTCAGAAAAGGCCTCATCCATTTTTATTTAGTATTAACTTCATCGTAGGGTAGGTTGATGCGAGCTTGACCAGCTGACTGACACAAACTAACACTTTCACTCCATTGCTCGAGTTTTGGATTTGCATACATTGTTACTTAACAGTTTAATGTTGAATTTAACGCTAGCATGTTAAATCACACAGCTCGTAGTTCTTATTTAATAATAATATGAGATGCTAAAGGCAGTTACAGCATGATGAAAATGACAGAATCATCAGAACATCTAGCTGTCTAGTGACTTACAACTACTACTAACTGCTTATTTAATGAGCGTTATACACATTTTCTTTTATAAAGCTGCAATGACAATGGATTAGAAAAAAAAGATTTATTTACTTGACTTTATATTTAAACAGCACTAGTCATATTTTTTTAATTAATAGAAATATTAAGGAGTCTTTCATTAATAAAAAAAAGATCTTTGCTCTGCTTTAAGTGTTGCTATTCAAGCAATGTAGTTTAGGCAGTGTTTATCGTGTGTGGTTACCATTGTAACAGTCGTCTTATAAGAGTGAGGAAATGGGAGAAGAAATTAACATTATCAAATGTAACATAATTGTGATCAGTTTTGTTGTGCCATTTTTTTACTTTTATTTTTCTGAATCAGTTTAATTATTTTTCTAACAATAACTGTTACACCATGTTTGCAAAGATAATTATTAAGCCTTTATTAAGTTTTATGCTTGTGTTAATATTCATGCCAAAACCTTGTTACTGTCAGCAGCAATGTGGCAGTTGTTGTGTTTCAGTAGGTCAGTATGGTGATAGTACATGTTGTTTAGATAGGTCAGCTCGACAGAAGGTCAGAGAATGTGTTTTAGAGAGCGAATTCATTTGTCCCGAGTTGTAAAACTGTTACAAAGGAACAGCCAGAACTGTAAAAAAGGATATTTGAGCTGATTCAAAATGTTATGTGTTGTGTTACATCTAAATTTCCTCTTTTTCTGAATTCAGGAAGATTTGTTTAGTGGAATATTGTAGTATTTTTGACAGTCGACTAAAATCTTATATATTTCTATGCTTATACAAGATGCCAAACTTATTTTTGCTCCGCTAATAGATCTGTTGTGATGTGTTTGGTCGGTGTTTATTTGAAGAGGACACTCCGGTGATGATACAGGGAACTGGAGCTTAAACCAATTACTTTTAGTAAAATGTTACATTTGTCATTGGACTCCACTTAATTTTGTATTATAAGTTTGTATAATGACATTTTTTGCTACATTCTACATTGCGCAGTGTGGACGATCAGATCATATTACATAGCTCTACTTTTTTTTTTTTTTTTTTTATATACTGATTGTGTAGGACTCCACCAGCTGTAACATTTCTAAGCTTATTTCCTATTGATTGAAAATGGTGGAAGAGGTGAGCTGGAGCAGACTGTGATCATGATGTGGTGATGCAGTGACGATTGTGCTTTTGTCTGGTTAAGCTTGTTCTGCAGGGCTAATTATTATATAAACCCACACAAATGTAGGATTTTGCTTAAGAAATGTTACTAATTTGGTGTGCAATGTATTGTGGTAACTGAGTGATTGTATTATCAAACATGCAAGATTAGAGTGTTAAAAACCATTCCTCTGTTGAGGCTCCTTGCTTTCCATGCACAGCGCAGTAGTATGTGGCTGTGAGGAGATTGAACTAATCACATTGTACTTGCTCAAAAATATTGTATTTTCTCTTAGATAACAAAGCAAAGCCAGTTCCTTATTCACAGGGGTCATTTGATCAATGACCCTTGGCATTCACACTTGTTACTGAATGTTTGTTGTTACTGATTTATTGGAAGAAGCCTTTAAAACGCTATCTTGGCTGATTTTGCAATTCACCTCAAAGTCTCACATTCAGTACGTTTTTTGTAGGACGGCTACTTGTTGAAAACTGAAAATAACGCCTTAATGCCTTTTTGTTGTTTCCTGTTTTGAAAACTTTTAGTTCATATTTATAATGAAATTAATAAAGAACTGGAAATGTGTGTTGCCTGATTTGTGTTCTTAATTGTCTTATGTACGGTGGCCGAGAAGTGCAAAGCAAATCACAATTCTGAAAACAAAATAACAAATTACAAACGCAAATGCAAGATTTTTATTGAAAATAAATGCCTTTACGATGTGATACGAGATTTGAAAAGGGAGAAAAAAAAAAGTTCGGCAAAAGGCAGGATCGAACCCGGGTCGATCGCGTCAAAAAACCAACAGCACGCGCTTATCCATCTGCGCCACTGGAGCTGATGGATTACAACCAGTTTTAACTAAATGTAAAGAGACACCCCGTATTTTTAATTCCCGAGTAAGGGCAATTCATACAATACATTTAAACTGAGCTACTTTAATACCATCTCCGAACTTTCTACCAGGACTCTGCTGTTCTTCGGCTGGTTCTTCCTGTATACGTTGATTGACAGATGTCTCGTCCAGTCAGCGGTGAGTAATCCCAAACCGATGGCGCTGTCTCAAACTATACCTACCTTTTCCGGTTTGTCTGATTTGTCGTTGTGTCTTCTGACTTGTAAATTTGTTTTCGGATTTGTCGTTGTGTTTTCTGACTAGTTATTTTGTTTTCGAATAT